TGACACACATCGGTCATTGTCACTGAGAAGAAGAGAGGCAAGTCACCAGTGTAGTCCAGAAATGTGCGTGTTATTGCACACTCGAAATATGTTAAGTATCGACTGTATTATGTGAGTAGTGTGGCAATCAAGAATATTAATGAGTTAGCCAAAATTGGGGATCAAAATACACATTTTAAATGTAAAAACGGCTGAGACGTAAATATATATGCAAGAGGTTATTTTTACGATTATGACAATTGGGGCTTCCCAGACCATATTTATATCATCAGATTTATTCTCGTGTGATGAGAACGAATCTGATGATCATTTCTATAGCAATCAGCCGACGATCTTGATGTGCTAAGTTTCGATAGCAGGGGAGGTCATGAAGCATATCAGGGAAATTATGGGGTAAAACAGGATTAAATGAGAAGAATAGCGAACAGAAATACACAAAACTTGCACAAAAAACGCTAAATATCGGTTAATGAAACTACAGACCTTTGAAAGTCCATGCACCAATGCACCAAAATTCGAAAAACTATGGGATTTCACACCTTCCAACCCCCCCAAAACTTTCTGAACCCTAACTCAACCTAACCTATCAATTTGTGGTGCCGAGACTAAGCGCAACTGCCTGAGGGGAGGTTGATGGGAGGCTCCAACACCCCTGAGATACATTTTCTTCACCTCTTTATGTACTGCAAGATAGAGCTAAATCCATACTATAAACAATAAACCAAATACCGTTATATATCGGAAGACCGAACTGTCAATTTTCTTTCGCTTCTTCCGGTCGGTCGGTCGGTCGGTTTATTGTGGATCGTGGATCTCTTCGTTTTTATCACTTTTTTCGGGATTTGGGGTATTTGATGGCCTCGGAAATCAAACTGTGGTAGTTAATCTTAAGAACAACCTAGAATCGATGCAACAAACCTAGCGTCATAAACGCAAAATACGCGTTTGCAGGTTCTTCAGACTGATTCCTGTAAATCACTGTCTAATAAATCTTGAAACATGTAAATGAGGTATAACAACATTAACAAAGGCCTTTGAAAACATAAATATGGAACAGCAGACACTGACAATTAGCAAAATATTGGTTTGACAACGGTGTAGTAATACATGATCTACTTAAGAGAGCACAGGAATGAGTTAACTGGTCATAATTTTGTTTACATTCACAATGTCAACATGGCCAGCGACAGAAAAAGATGGAACGTTCTTCTCTCTTCATTGTTGTATAAAGAATTTATGCACCTTATGACACAGATGAAAAGTGTCTTACTTTATGTCAAGGTAATCATTCATATACCTATTTTACTGTAACTTGACTGACATCCGCGGTAAATTTACCGATTAGTCAGTCGATAGTCGTGTTCATTTTTATGATATAGTATATGGAATATTTTACTTGAACTTTGAAATATTTCTGCTAAACTGCCACCTCCTGATTGCTCGTGAGGTAGTAGTGATGTAGGTGCGCAGTAGGACAGAAGACAGTGTGCGAGCTGCAAGGCAACTTAATCTTTTGTGCCGAGCAAGTGGACATCCGCTGGAGCGCTGTGTGGCTATGTGAAGACACTTTCCGCGACATTTTTCCTTTATTTGTGGTGTTACCATTCGTGCCTGCAGTTTCATTAGCACATTTTAAGTGTTTTTGGTAATTGTTATATGCTATTTTGTCATTGCAGCCTGTTTTCTCACGGATATACTTCAAGCCATCACCTGATATCGGGACTTAGAACATCAACATTGTCTGCTGCTTTTGCGACGGAAATGATCATCAGATCCGTTCTCATCACACGAGACCATTTTTGATGATATAAATAGTCTGGGAAGTTCCGAGAAGTACACAAAACCCTATCCCTCGCTTGTAATGGTTAAAGTGTGGACATCGACACAGCCTTCTACAGCAGCTGGCGAGTAATCCTCGGATAAAATGTGGGCATGGGCAAAAGCCGGCCATTAACTACCTCCTACAGGAGTGGAGATACAAAACTGTTCATGTAAGTGGCTTTATTTACGAAACACTATCCGGTACTACAACCTCGAATCACAGATGCGGCAAGGAAAATCACTGGTAGTAAACGGGGTAATTATCTATCTTAAGTCCGCCACTCCTACATTGACGATTTTGTTATCATTGGATTCCTAGCACTGTCCACAATGCAAATATATAGTTTTTATTGTACGGAAACCCCCATATAGCGACAAACTTTTTCCAGGGAAAATGTGGGGTTAAATAACACTACTAATATAATCCTAAATGAAAATAACGATGATAATTCACATTATTTTCCCTTGCAGGAGGTTATGCCCCTGCAATCCCCCTTTGTGGAGCTACTGCCGCCCAACCCCCGCGTTACACAATTATAAAGGTATTGTAACATTCCCACTGAAGCAACATACTAACCTTGACATAGTCAGCATTGCATGATGAGAAGATTGTAGAATAATCAGGATGTACAAGGTATACTATGAACAGTAGAGCGGTGGTGGCCCGCTCTCCTTGGCAGGTTTTGCGCAGTTCTCGAGGTTACACCGATAGCCTCAGATGATGGAGTGGAATATATTAGAGTCAGCCAATAGATGGCAGTTATTATCCCATATAGTTACTGAAGTGACTATGTCGTCATCTATTGCAGAAGAACGTCGCCTCAAGGTAGAGTTTTCCGTCCTCTGGAAACACGAGATCCGTGTTTATAACCGAAATAATATTGTGTAACTTCCGTTCTTCTGGAAGCGTTCAAAACAGGTATGGTACAGACCTGCCTGCCGCTGTCGCGTTCGGTACTCAGCCATTGCCGCCGCGATGGCCTAATGTGGAGGGTGCGACTACTCTGAAACGGACTTATTGCGCATGGTCACCAGCCGATGTGCTTTCACAAAGGCCTCCTCTTTTGGGGAAGAGCCTGCGGCATCTATCAATTAGGTTAGTGCCATAAAAATCTAGTTCCGCATCTAGTTCGTCACGCCCCCCCCCCCCCAGTGGAAACAAATGTAAATTTTCATCTTTTTCATTGTGGGTTATATTATTAGTATTATTTAATCCCTGGAACCTTTCATACCCTCCCCTGTTACTGAGGTCAAGTTTGTCACTAACGGAAGGTTTCCGCGCAATAAAAA